CTAACTGCCTCGGTGGTGTAGTGGTTAGCAAGCACGGCCGCACACCCGGAGGTCCTGGGTTCGAGTCCCGGGTCGGGCCAAGTTTAGTTATTGAGTCTTTCTGTATAGTAAGCCCGGAGTTGGGAAGTTGGCGGTGTTTCACCCCCGTGCCTCGGAGAGCACGTAAAGCCGTCGGTCCTGCGCCTTAACTCTCACTGGTCGTGTCGAGTGGTCGTCCCACCAGAATATGAGAGTGACAGGAATAGAGAGTGCACCTGTGTCTGCGCGTACACTTGTGCACTATAATATCTCCTGCGTAGTTGGCTAGTCTCAATACGATTGGCCGCCGTGGCCGGAATCGGTCGGGAGAACATCATCAGTATACTCTTACATTGCAGTTTTTGTATTTTTTCTCAAAAATGAGATATTTTCTCGCGGTAAAAAGTATTCTATATGTTGACCCGGATAACCAGCTATCTTCATAACAAATTTCATCAAAATCTCTCCAGCCGTTTTTCTGTGATGCGGTAACAGATAGACCAAAATTCTAAAAACTATAGATTCGGCCTCTGTATCGATAATAATGTTTATTTCAATAAGATTTTCCAAAAGATATCTAATGTACAGATTCGGCTTCGTTACAATTTTATTATATGTATAGATGTCAGTTAAATCTAAGATGTCTTGTTCTATGCCTACTACTTATTACATCAATTGTAATACGCTAGCAGAATTTTCAAGGGGTCTGAGTACAAGTAAAGTGTTTTCGCTTTAAAATTGCAGCCCGACTCGCTCTGATTCTTGATTTTTCAATGTCAAGTCGTACGTTGTATGCAATTAAATTGTAAAACTGCGCTCATAGCAACACACAACTATAATATAGATATTAATAGATTCTAAGCTCTATTTCCATTTGACGACATGTGTGGCTCAGTTTGTAGTAATCCTACTTGCTGTGCCAGCGGTCGCGGGTTCGAGTCCCGCTGGAGGCATTTATTTATATGATGAGCACAAATGTTTGTACTGCAGTCATAGGTGTTTATATTTATAATATGTATGTATTTAAAGTTATATATGTGTAGTGTGTCAACTATCTGGTATCCATAACACAAGACTCGTAGCCTATCATGGAACTAGACGGTGTTGTGTGTTAATGTCCCAACATATTTATTTATTTATTTATTTTTTTTTACTATTCGAGGTTTTTGCATATTGTTAAGGCATATTTAAATTTCACATTAAGTAAAACAATGGTTGATTTTAAGTTAAGTTTTAAAAGTATTTTCTTTTAAGTTTTTATTTCATATATCAGAATGTTATACGAGTCTGTTATCAATGATACGACAGTATGATAATGTATTTCGTTCCTTTAAATGCCAGCATTATATAGAAGGATACCTAATAATTGATTTGTAAAGTCACCAAGACCGTTTCAGGTCTCTTGTTGAATGTTTATATATTAACATTTAATTGCAAATGTTAGTCATTGTTGTCAAGTAATACCCGTGGTATTGGTGTCGGTTTCATTTGATTTTGGCTATCCTGTTAGAAAGTATAAGCTAAATGACTAAGCCTATTGTTTGCTTATCGTATATAGAAAGGTTTCGGAAAAGGTCTTTTATTACTAATTTTAGCATTCAAGGTTGTTTGTATCTCTGTAGTGATATCCATACTAATATTATAAATGTGAACGTGTGTTTGTTTGTCCTTCTTTCACGTCCAAACAGTGACCGATTGGCGTGATTTTTTGTGTGGATATAGTTGGAGGGCTAGAGAGTGATATAGGTTACTTTTTACCGCGGGAGATTATCTCATTTCCACGGGTAAACACATTACAATACAACTCAAAAATATTTATGATCAGAATAACTTGAAATTTGAAATTAAATACGCGTTTTAGCATTTTTCGAAATTCATTCCATTAGGGTGTAAAATAGGGGATGAAAGTTTCTATGAAACCTACCTTTTTACCTTGTAAAGATTTTTTGTAGTTTTAGCGCGAGCGAAGCCGCGGGTTCTGCTAGTAATATTTCTTAATTCATTGTTCAAATATGGGAGTCATTACGATTTATCTTTACTTGCGCTTCACCGCGGCTACGCTCGCATAATTTGTTAATTTTACATCTATTTTTTATCCCCACAGTATGTATCGCTTAAAACTTAAATTAGAATAGTTGTCATCATCGAGATCTCATCTTAAATTTTGATCACTGTGACATTTTAAAAATAATGGATATTTATTTAAATTTTTGGACCCTTTCTTTACCACTCTTAGGGTTGAATTTCTAAAAATTCTTTTTAGCGGACACCTAAACCTTGGTTCTGCTTGAGATCAATCATATTTATCTAAAGATTTAGTAAAATTAGTTTATTGGTAATATTTATCTGATTTTTCATTCTTCATCAAGACTTATTAATTTTATTTTTATTTGACCGCTATTTTAAGGCAGTGGACATTTTCGAATTGCAAAATTTTAACTATCCACCTTCTGCATGTAAATTACGCCCACAGATAAATTAAAACTGTCGTAGAATATTAAACTTTATAAATATGATTTTACGAACTATAGTTGTTTGAGATATAATATAATATGTATGTAAATATCTACGAATGACATCGTAGTTAAATATAATTAGGTTTACTTATGCAAAATTATTTTGTAACATAATTCTATGTTAGGTTTAGTTAAATGTATACGATTTTAAAGATTACTTGTAGAATGTAAAATGCCTCATTAGCAAGTATTTTTGATAAGTATTCAGTATAGTTAAATCTTGTTCTACAACTAAGTTTTACTAAGTGCTTATCAAACGTACTATTGAAAATCTAATACCTTTAAAGGAGCAATTCTTATATATTTATTTATATATATCTCGCGATCTCGGAAACGGCTCTAACGATTTCGCTGAAATTTGGTATGTGGAGGTTTTCGGGGGCGAAAAATCGATTTAGATTAGTCTTATGTCTGGAAAAACGCGTTTTTTCGACTTTTCATGCGGTTCTCTTTTGCATTATTCTTGCGGTTGCTTGCGGATGCGGTTTTTTTTATTAATTCAATTTTCTTAATAATTATTCTTATTCTATTTCTTCTCTTATCTTCTATTCTAATAATCTTAATAATTATTAAGTTTTTAGTTTTTTTTTTATGTTATTAAGCCAATTTAAAAAGAATTGTACTTTTGGCTAAAAAGTAGATTATCATCTAAAAATACGATATAATAAAAAGAACTCCCAGTCATATAAAAATATATAGGTAATGATGCTATTTATAGGGCTGGAATTTTTGTTGCAATGACTACTGCGCCACCATTTAGATAGGACCTATTTATTAAAAACTAGTGACTTACCCTAGCTTCGCTCGGATGCATCCTTAGGTATGTTTTATCAACTTTCTAGAACATTGTTTTGATGTATCACTTAAGCTTTAGCCAGCGTTAGACATATAAGCTAAGAACGTCTTGATAAAACCAGTTATTGTGTTTTCCTGTGGGAATGAAAGATTTTCCTGTAATAAAAACTATCCTAAATGTTGACCCGAGTTGTACACAAAATTTACTTAAAATCTGTTCAGTACTTTTTGAGTGAAACGCGCACATCAATTTCGCTAAATTACCGTTTTATTATATGTATAGAAGATAATCACGAAATCGATTCACAATGAAGATATCATGAAAAATTTTAACATACAAAAAATAATAATTCATTCTAAATGAACATCTCTTCCATAACATTTCAAGTCGGTTAAAAATCAAGAAATAACTGTTAATGCTAACTCAAACAAAATGAGTACACTTATTATATGATTTAATCAAAGATGTATTTTTATGTTCCGATTTCAAAGTTTACGTAATAAGAAAGTTTTTAACATAAGGTTTCTCTACTTTAAGATATTACTTAATAATTTATTGATATAATTGTGTTAATGTTTGGAGAGTTTAAAAAAGTCATTATTTGCAATTCGAGATTGTTTTCACAATACTTTCTACTGACGCAAATAAATTAATATAATAAGAAAAAAAAACTTTTCTCTGTCATTATGTAAGTCGTAAAATTATTATAAGTTAATTATTACAGTTAACATTTTTTTTTGTTTTTTTTGACTAGAAATAAATTAATTAAAACGTCTTTTGAATAACTTGCTTTTTTATCTATGTAGGTATTTAGTTTTCACATTCTGTTTTTACATTGTGTTTGTATATTCTATATTCTGTTTTTAAATTCGAGCCTATCATTAATTTCTATAATCTTAATTGGCGAGTTATAATTAGTAGTTTTTATATAATAGCAAGTAGTTTAGTAATTATTGTAATCGTGCAAATTTTAGTGCAAAATTCTAATTCAAGTTTATTGCGTTTATAAAAATACTAGCAGAACCCGCGGCTTTGCTCGCACTAAAACTACAAAAAAACTCTAAAAAGGTAGGCTTCATACAAACTTTCATCCCCTATGTTACCCCTTGTGTTTTTCCGTGGGAAGTAGATGATCTCCCGCGGTAATAAGTAGCCTATGTCACTCTCCAGCCCTCCCAACTATTTCCACACAAAAAATCACGCCAATCCATCATTCCGTTTTCACGTGAAAGAAGCACAAACAAACAAACAAACGAACGCACTTTCACATTTATAATATTAGTAAGGATTTACTTGTTTTTATACGTGTTTTTTGCGTTTTTTCTTCTTTTATTTTAATTTTAGCTAGTTGTTATTAAGAATTAGGTAACATTAAAATGATTACGAAATCAATTAGTTTTATTAGTTAAAGTTTTTAGCTATAAACATTTTTATTTGTAGTAAATTATAAACTTGAGTAAATATTACTACAATGTCAAAAATCAATCAATATGATAAGTATACATTAAATTGGGAGGTCAATGCCAGCAAGGTTATACAACGATTTGCTTAAATTTATTATTTACATAATTATCGTTTATACTTTATAATTTGTGTGGCTCAGACAAAGCCAGAGAGTATACAAAAAATATAAAAGTACATATTTTTAGTTTAACATATTTTATTTATAGGTCCGGTAGTGTTCCCACCATCGCCACCCGGCAGCCCAGACCAGACCAGCGGTGTGATTGTTGGTGCGTCAGGCTACGGCTTCCAACCCCCAGGCTCGCAAGGTAACACTTACGGCCGATAGAAATTTACTAGCCAATGTAGTTCAAATTGATCCATAACCAAGTAAGGCAATGAGAAATATTATTTTAACTTACTAAACTTTCCTCTTAATTCTTCGTCTATAGAGATTGTCTTTTTCTCATTCCCTCTTTTCCTTCTCTATATTGTACCAACTTAAAGATAATTACATTTTTTCTTCATTAGAAATTCATTTCGTATCAATCGTGCCATTATCTTGATATTTTTTTTTCTTTTGATTAGAAAAGGATTTTCTCTTACTATATTAATGTTATCACTTAAAAATTGATTTCTGTACATATTTCTTATTGTCTTGTTACGGTTATTAGTTATTTGCATACTTTGCCCCAATTTGTTGGTAAATGCATTTCTAAAACAAGCTGTATTTTAAATTTTAATAATTTATTTTTTTTACCATTGTATATAAGTAGTTAATGCTTATAAATATGCATGATTATTTTGCACCTTTTTTTTGTTTGACCACTTTAGAAATAATGTTTTGTTGCATGTGTTTAAACAATTTTATTTAATTATATTTTTGGTTTGACGAATGTATGTACTAGAAGTTCTGATTTTTATATGTTAAATATTATTTAAGTGTAATTGTTTTTGTACAGCTGTAAATGACATGGATGTAAATAAATATTTATAAGTTAGAAATAAAAGTTAAGAAATTGCCACTGTTTTATTAGATATCCTTTGAGTTATTCATAGTTATTTTTAATTAAATGTATGTATATACTATCTGTTAAGCTTACAAATGTATGTATCCATAGTATGTAACATATGCACGAGCTTTATAATCTAACATATAATATCTATATATAAATATCTTATTTAATAAATATTTATAACCTTAATAGTATTATGATGATAATAATTTATACGTAATGGTTAAAAGTATAATAAAGAAAATTTGTAATTTATATAGTTTACCTTGTAATAAGATTAATAAGATGACCGAGCATCTAATTAGTGTGCTGTTAGTAGCGATAAGACTGTTCAATAGTCAATACCCACATAGAGTACAGACAAAAATTGAATGGGACCATTTTTGCTCTAACGAACTGAAATATCGATAATTTTATTACTGATATTTTATGTCCTTTATCAAAGTATTTTATAATATACTTGAAAAATCATTAAAATATGTCAAATAGGTTTGTCCCTATTAACTATTCATAATACAAAATACATGATCTATCCAATTTTGTACCATTTTTTTTTGTTTAATTATCGATATTTCAGTTCGTAAACGCAAAAATTTGAAAAAATAAATATTCGTGAGCCTGTAACTTTGTTGTTATTGATGATATGAAATAGTTGACAAAAACTTTTTTATAGGATTTTAAACGTACTACAAATTTGCCATTGAACATTTTTCTGTAACTCTTACAGTTTCGCTAAAAAATGCAAAAAACCATAGACTTGAACTTTAAAGCTATATAACAAATAAAATATTGAAGGTAGAAAGTCGACTCAATGGAACTTTTTGTAGTAAATTTAATACTAAAAAAGGTCCATTCATTCCTTTTTTTGAAAAATATTTTCGTCGCAGTTTGCAGGGCAAAAAAGTATTAAAATCCATTTTTTCCATGTAATTTGTATGGGAAAACTTAAAGGTCGATGGAGAACCTCTTAGAATTGGAATTTTGAGATTCGCTTTTTACAGGAGCTTTGTTGGGACATTTCCTGAGATATTTTGGGGTGAGAGCGAAGAAAAAAATATCGTCATTTTTTGGCACATCCTAATATGTATATATATATATATATATATATATATATATGAGGTCGTAAATATACTTTTCGCAATTATGATATAATATTCGGTATAATAAAGTAATCGAATAATTATTTTAAATCTGAGTATAATTAGTTATTATCAATGTAGTTATTTTAACTGTAAATATTTTAAGCCATAATATTTGATATTGCCTTCAAATATAATCAACTTGACTCGTGTTTTATACGGTAGTGATAGTTTTCCTATGAGTCAAGAGCTTGCGGTCAAATAGCTGCCTAATCTTGTCCGTTCCGACAGTTTGACAGAGGCCTTCAAATTAAGGTTCGCATACCGAAGCTCTGTACCAATTTAATATATCTATATCTATGTTTTGTAAAACATTTAATTACAGGTTATTATAATTTATAAAAATTATTATAAATAGCTTTTAAATAATACTTTCTAAGATTTACGCGAATATGATATTTTAAATAAAACTATCTGTTCGGATTTTTTCGCGGATAATTTTTGGTTCACGACGTTTCGAATGCTTTACAGCAATCATGGTCACGTCATGGTCACGGGAGAGACTGCTTTTAAATAAATACAGTTATACTGCGGTCCAATATTGAAGAAAATTGGTGACCCCTGACTAAACGGTAGTATGACCTTCGCAATGCCGGATCAATGCAAATAAACGTGTTCATTTTAATGTAATTATCAATTTTTCATCTAACGTATATCACTTCCTGGTGTAGTTTAATCTATCAATCAATTAAATTATTTTTATGGCAGTTAATTCGATATTGTTATTATAATATAGTCACATCTCTACAGATTAATTAAATTTAAGTGTCTGTTTGTACATATGAAAGATTATTCAATATTTATAATAGAAAAAAAAAACTATTTTAAGAAATCCTCTGTCTGTTTGTTCCGGCTAATCTCTGAAACGGCTGGATCGATTTTGACGGGACTTCCGGTAAGGTGTGGCAAGTTGATTTCTACAATAGATATATATATATATATATACATATATATATATATATATATATATATACATATTATTATATATATATATATATATATATATATAATATATATATAGTATATTATTTCTTATATTCTTTGAGTTACTTGTTAAGTTAATTTATGAGATTTATAATGTTTCGATAGGATCGGTGCGTCTACGCTACCTACTCGACCCCTATTATGTTACCTTCTTACCGCACGTCAAGGTTCTTTTGCGTTCAGAGAATAATGTCCAATATCTCTTCATAACTTAGTTTTTGTGTACTTTTCAATAATCAATATTATTTAAAAAAATTTTTTTTTCATTTTTCTAAAACTAAGTAAAATATATCTAGAAACAAAAAAGATATGTTTAGAAACTGAAAAAAATAATAATATTTACAAGTATAATTAAATGGAAAATAAATTTATTTTGATATATTTGAGTATAATGTACACGTATATGATATACTTACTCGTATAACGTAATATATGTTTAAAAGTTATGGACTTTTTAAATAATAACTGTAAATCCACAAAAATATTTCTTGTGTGTACTTTAACTTTTTTTTTCAATATATTTTTACTCTGTCTACCATTATAGTACAAATTTTACTATAAAATGAAACTAGTTTCCCATTAACATTCAAATATCATAAAGTCCATTCAGTGTCCTAAAGTTCCTTAAGGGTGAGAGCTTTTTTATGGGTTCCGTATTTATCTTTCTCGAACGAAACCCGATTTTTCAGGATTTATTGATTTAACCACTACAAATATCATATAATAGAAGCAATGTCGTCGTGCAAAAAATATTGACATTGGTACGTGCTTCATAATATTAAAACCAACCAAACAAATGAAAACGAAACTTCTATTATTCGTGGCGGCACTTTTAATTGTATTTGATTCCCCACGACTTTATATTTGAAGTGCTAACTCGTCCCAAACATTCAATTTGGACTCCCTTAATCTCGCAAACCCTCAACACGGTCAAACGAATTTTAATTATGAAATTGACATATCACAAGCGCGGGGGCAGTGATGTTTCTATTCATATTAAACTAACTTTTAGACGTGGATTTCTCTGCCTTAGTTTATAATTATGAGTTGATATAAGTTACTACTACAATAAACTTGTTTAATATCATATTTAATGAAAGAAATTACATACTCGTATACTGTGTATAAATAACTAAATGTATTTCTTGAAATATTTTCTGCGATATATGTGATTTTTACTTTATTTACATATACTATAAATATAATACAGTAAAACTTTAGGATTTATATATTAATTTTGTTTATTCTTAAAAGAGGTAACTAAGCATTTCCACATTAATATAGATATTGCACCCCTAGAATTTAATAAGGGATGTAGATGATTTAATAAAAGAGTTTGTACTTATAAAATTAATTGGGACCCCACACGCCTCCGTCATTTTTAGCCGGACCTTTGTTATTCCTCTTATGCATATTTATATGTTTGTTCTCAAAAATACACGGAGTCCCATGTGTGTTCTTTAAATGAATTCATATTCGCAAAAGCAACGGTTTCTTCGACCGTAACAAATACAATCACGCTGTATAAATATCAACCAAATATTATTTATTGCTCATAGAAATAGAAATTATATAATATCTATATAACATAAATATTATGAGCATTTTAAAATGATTAAAAATAAATCAAAGTAGCCTATGCGACTCTCTTTTGAATCGTTTGTCCGCCATTGAAGGTCCCAATAAAGTCAGTTTAGTCGGTTAGCTATTCTGGATATAAGCGGATACAAACAGAGAATGATGATGATGTTCTCCTGACCGATTCCGGCCACGTCGGCCAATCTCATTGAGACTAGCCAACTGCGCAGGAGATATTATAGTGCACAAGTGTACGCGCAGACACAAGTGCACTCTCTATTCCTGTCACTCTCATACTCCGGTGGGATGACTGCTCGACATGACCTGTGAGAGTTAAGGCGCAGGACCGACGGCCTTACGTGCTCTCCGAGGCACGGGGGTGAAACACCGCCAACTTTCCAACTCCGGGCTATTACTGAGGCTTACTATACAAAAAGACTCAATAACTAAACTTGGCCTGACCCGGGATTGGAACCCAGGGCCTCCGGGTGTGCAGCCGTACATGCTAGCCACTACTCCACCGAGGCAGCTAAACAGAAACAGAGAGTGTTAGATTCAATACCGTGCAATGGTTGATAAGATTACTTAGAAATATCAGACGCATACTTCTAT